ACAATTTAGTGTTCAATGACCCTGCTGTCGGTTCTCAGGTCCATTGGATAGAAGATTGTGAAAGACTTACTAGAGCAGCTAGCAGTCGGTTTTGCACATTACAGTACTATCAGCCTGTGTCCCTCTTCACTTTCTTTATCAACCAATATATTCCCATTCGACCCACTTAGTTGGACCTCCGCTTGAGTTACAGCTCACCCACATACCGACACGAGCTTCCGTTAGAGGAACTGCCATCTGGGGATGCACACGTTCACAACTTACTCACCCATGAGTGCTAACAAACGCAGAAGAAAGCCTTCACAAATTGTTAGAGAATTAACGTAGATGCTGGAAAGGCAGGCACAGTTTCTATAGGAGATGTGAATTATTTTCTCTCGCCTATCTCTTTATGCTAATTATTGACCAAAGTGGATCTGTGTGGTGATAAAAATAACTGAAGTGTGTTTTTCCTCCCATATTTTAAAAGATTTGATTGTTGAAATAATATTTGAATGCAGAGCAAAATAAAAAGAAATGCAACACAAACATTGAATGTATATTTCCAAATGTATCAATTAAATTCAGTTCAAATCAACTTGTTTATGCAGCATGAAATTACAATTCCCATTAATCTGGTGTAATTTATGTGTTGGAATGTCATTTCTCTTTATCGGTCTCTTTACATTAGCTGCATATTGTCTAATTGAAGTTGCATCTGATTTCAACTATGCAAATTTCTACTGAACATGGATTTGTAATCACAACTAAGGACTGACATACGTTGATGATTGTATAAAGTTGCTGAATGAGTTTATATTGACCATGAAGCTCTGCAGTAGCCCCCCTCCCAATGTCACATGTGTATAAATGTGCAGTCCTTCTTCACTAAGTACGGAAACCCATTTTACCAGCTGAAGAGCATCTACTGAACACAGCTCTCAGTCCTCCCAACATTTGATAAGATGGCAGGTGCTGGTTAAGAGCAGTAATGACAGTTATTATGCAATGTTCCCTTTCCCTACGTAATTTTGTCTCACGTGCACCATGCCTTGCATTGGGGTGTTTTTTTATTTAGGCTGCCACAATAACACTTTCTGCACTCACGGAGGGCAAAGACGTCAAAAGCCATTTAGTGAAACAATGCAGCCGGATTTCCAACTCCATTTCAAGGGTAAGATGTGATGACAGTGTGACATGTTACTTTTAAAACGTTTAGCTTTTGCAAAGGTGGTCTCATGTTGCACAGCTATAGCTGGAGAAAAGGATGTCGAGGGATCAGATCTGAGGCTGTCAAGGTCACGAGTTTGTATTTTGGAGGAGCAAAGTCTATGACCTTCATCACTCTCCATTCTTTCACTGCCTCTGAACCAGAACAAGTCTTTTCTTAGAGCCATGAAATGTTGCAGCTCTTTGTGTGAACTCTCTAATTAGAAAGACCTTGAGGTGTGGATCTTATCCATTGTTCCCCCTCATTTTGGTGGGAAAATATTTCATTGATTTTTTTTAGCAGCAATCGAAGCCAGGCGGAGCTGAGAAGGGCTCTGTGCAGGATTAGACACTGCAGGGGGTTTCCGCGTCGGGTGGGGAGCTGTTGAGGCTGTGTGTATATACATTTGTGGAGGTGTGTGTGTGGTTACTATGTAATGTCCCCGTCTATAACCCTTACTCATTCTCACCTTCTGAAAGAACCAATTACAGCTGTGATCCCATCATCACTCACTTCTCACTCCTAGCTCCCATTGTTCACTCTTTAGCCTCTGCACAACTTCTGATTAGCCATCGTCCTACGTTGTTATGATAAATCCAACTCATTTACCAACATCTGGATTCGACGAAGCTTCTGTTCATGTTCTTCCAAGCAGAACAGGGATGAAGGATGGCCATGTTTTCATAATCACACAAAAACAAGCACTTGTCAAATCCCCTTTTTAAATCAGATGCTAAAAAGTAAAAGCTGTTCTTAATCTTTTTAAGTGTTGGTGACAGTTTTAGTAATTTTTCAGAGCTCCTACAGTAAAGAGGATGAGCATAAAGTGAACTTACTCAGCAAAATATTTAGCAGTCAACAGTTTCTGTCTCCCTTTTCTTTATTTCCCTCCTGCCACCCTCCTAGACCGCCCATAAATTATGCTTCACCCCTGCAGGTGCCGACTTCGCTCTGAAATGATTATTCCTACCACAAGATTGCTTTTGGTAATTATATGTATCATAATTAAATTTGATAAACTCCTTGGAGACATAAAATCTCATTTGACCCAGGTGCTGGATTTCTCTTCTCATCCACAAAAAGAGAAATATGCACCAGTTTTATAAGACGAACTTTGAATCTTGAAGCTGACATCTTGATTAATCAAATTGGTGACTCCAAATGGACCAACTTTTGGATATTACCACAGACTCTGAAATAAAATGATCGGTGTTGGTCAAGCTTATGTTGTCATTTTAATGTCTCTATGTGTTTAGGGCAGTCAGATATAAGAACAAATTTCTATTCATTACAGATTTCCAGTTGTGCAGCTGTTTTCTTCCAAAGCCTTCTTTTATTCACATGCGAAATTCACATGAGCAAGTAATGCCATAAACACTCTCAGGGCTAATCGGATTCTGCTTTTTATCTCCCTGGGGATCACGCCTCACCTCTTCACTTCCTTTCTAAGAATAAAATCCTTTTAGTTATAGGTAGAAGCAAAGAGTCGTGATGAGAAATTCATACTAGTTTTGACTGCCCACGTCAGTGTCCTCCATCATGTTCTCTACCAGCATGGAAAGGTCCAGGGCAAATGTGAAAACATGTGATCTCGTTGTCAAGCTCGAAGAAGTATCACTAATAGGTATTTATCATTCTGTAATATATTTTATTTTCTGAATTTCTTATTGTATGACTACTTTTATTTTGTTTCAGAATATTTTCTGTAATATTTACAGTATTTTGGTTTTCATCCAGTTTCAAAAAAATGAAAAGTAATGAAATTAATAAAATTAGCAACAAATGATTATTTGCTTTTGTCTAATATTTTAAATGGTTTAGCAAGGTCAGAGCCTTTATCACTTGCACCATGAATACCACTGCATAGGCCTGTGAGTCACGTTTAAAATGTGGAGTTTTTATTTACCTGCTAATATATTTTAGTTTTGTTTGAAAATGAAAAATTATATCAATCTAAAAGCAGCTGGAAAACTCAAACCTCATAACTTTGTATAGTTGATAGATACAGTATGTATAGTAATATAAAAATGTTGAATCTGAATAATTTGGAAATCATAAATTGCCAAAATGCATCAATTTTCTGCATTCATCAAGTCAATGAGTAATCTATGTATTCAATAACTTAAAGCTACTAAAAGATTGCTTGGTAATCAGTGTGATTTGTTTCCTTCCAGTTTTAAGTTGTTGTATTACTTGTAAAATTATGCACATCAGAATACAAGATTCCACTAAGCGGTTTGTGCCTTGGATATTTCCGCAGCATCCAAGATTACAATAAATATGCACACTGCTTGCTAAGCTGCAGCCGCCGGCAAGCTCTGAGATCAGATTTAGGGCTTGGACTATCTCACAAGGCAAGCGACCAGTCCCTGAGGACAAACAAAACTCTAGTCAGCTTAAAAAAAAATGCACAAAACACAGGCAAAACAGAAGGCGCAGGGTAAGGACAAAGATTTTAGAAATTATGTTTTTGTAGAAATTTTTGTCTTTTCTTTCATCGGGATATTGCCTTTTCTTTTTCCTCCTTTTTTTGCTGGCTTTCCATCAGTTTGTGCTTCAAAATTTCTATTCTTACACTGAACTCAACATCATTGAAAGTAATGCACTTTTTCCAACTCCAGACTTTTTTTTTTTTTCTTGCTGGAGTTCCCTGCTGTGCACCAATCCCTTTCTCACAGGTGATTGCACTAGGATTATTGATCAGGGAAGAAATTTGCTGCTGAGAAGTCACTTTCCAAACTGCATGCAACTTTAATGTGAAACCAAATGACCTGACTTTCCTTTTACTAATACACTTTCACTTGCAGACAAAAGTATAAATTAAAGAGAATGCTTTTTTCTGCCTGTGGATGTCTGTAAAACAAATGCACACAGTCAGTCAAATTTAACATTGTGCTCCTGGTCACAAGGACAATATTCTGTATTAAAATACTAGGAGGGGGAGCATATATTCTTTAGAATACCTAATTAATAACATAATTAATGTACAACATGGTTTTCTGAAAGTGATGCTCTTCAAAAACTGCACGTTTAGGACACAGATGACTATTTGGACGAGCTTATTTTGTCAAAGATACTATAATTTATATTAGGGTCTTGGGATGTTGATTATATTCCAAATGATGGATTGTTTATTAGTCTCTGATGGCTTTTAACATGTGCTGCCACTCAAAATGGCTGTAACTAAAAGCGGTTTATGTCGATAGCTATTATAAAAGAATTTGATGTCAGACTTCAGCGCAGTGTTGGCACAAGTGGTACTGGATAATAATCACTCCTGGCTGCTGTGTTGACTTACAGAATTGTTGTCCATTAAATCAGAGGGTGACAAAGTGACTGACTTGTTTTCCAAGGCGTTTATTAAGTGCATTTTAGTACAATTGTTCTCAGAAAGTTACATCTTACAAACTTTTGACACATACTTTTCACAATTTACATGTGGCGCTATACAGAAACAGATGAAAAAAAAAAGAGGAATACCATTCGCTCATCAATATTGTACCTGTGCACATAACAACATCTGTACACATAACTGTGTTTGATATGCACAAAACACACACCCACTGTCCCTCACACAGATGAACAAATAATGACATGTGCACTCATAATCCCTTCTCTCATTAAATCTGTACCAGAGAGACTTTATTTGGGAAAAGGTCCATTTCAAATTATCTTCCTCCTCCCTGGCTGACCACAGAAATTTTTCATATATATATATATATATATATATATATATATATATATATATATGTATATATATATATATATATATATATATATATATATATATATATATATATATATATGGATTCACAGTGTTTGTGTGTATCTTTATGGATGTAAAGTGATGTGTTTTATATGTGTGTAAATCTTTTAGAAGCCAGACTGAAACAGAAGGTGGGAAAATAAAATGATGCAGTTTAATGAGAATATTCTTTGCTGGAAGTCATGTCAGGGCATTTTCAGGTGAATATAGCAGACCTATAAAAGCAAGACATGATTTCAGTGACTAAACGGGTCGTGGACCAGTCTTCAAACAGTTACGGCACCATGAAATGCTTAACAAGCTCTCCTCTTGTGTTTTGTATCAGTATGTGATAAATGGCTTCTGTAGAAACCTTCTTTCATACACGGACTCCAGACCATCCCTCTATTCATCACCCTGGAGTGTCACTATAGAGTAAGATATTTCATAAAACAAACAGAGCAGATGAGGCTAAAAAAATTGCACAGTTAGATAATGAATACATTCACCATCTCATTCACAAGCTCATGGGTTGAAAAGCAAACACACATGACTGAGCTGAATAGAAAACTAATACATTCAAATTGATAAAATGGGTTTCAGTGAAAGGTATCTAAGCCTGCATTAAGGAACATATTATTATATTTAGTTAGTAAATTAATGACTTAGGGAGTTAAACAAAATGCAATTGATTTTGTCCAAAGGGCAAACCAGTTGCTTAATTACAATATTTTCCATTGCCAAACCTAACAAAAGAAATTAGCATTTATATAATGAAAGGGATATTGCAGCATAAACCACACTTCAAGCTCGAAGAGGATGATTCTGACTTTCATCTATTCATCCTCTTCCCTGCAAACCATCTTTCCTCTAAGCAACCTCTCACCCTATTTCTATCACCTTTGCACACACTCTGTCATGTTTTACCCAAGCAAACATAAGATTTAGGAGCACATTTTAGAATCACATTTAAAGGGCTTCCTGTTTCTGTGTGTTTATGAACGTTTAAATGGCCCCATCAGTTTTCCTGCCGCCATTGCTGATCATATGCCTGTCAGACAGGGGTTCTAGCAGGTGTTTGCACCCTGTTTGGACCCACTACAGAAGGGAGCCAACTATTTCTTTGGCCAGCACTGGCCAAGCACAGCCCAGACAGTGCCATAGACAGCTTGGTTATACCAAGGATAAACGAGCTGGAGCCCCGCCAGAAACCTAGAGCCACCTGGAAGTGAGTGCAGAACAGAAAGAGGAGAATGCTCACTAATTGTGGAAGGACTGATTGTATTTATTTTATTTACTAAATAAAACAAATGGTCTTTTGTTATTACATATGCCAAATAACCCAGTGCCAGGGTCAGGACAAAGGCTAGTAACACTTATTATGAGTGTAAACAAATAATTGATAACCTCTATTACCATACATGTTTATTGCAAATTATACATTAGTCATTATTAATGCAGGAGTATTATATAAATTCCAGGCACCTTGAATCATTTTATAGAACAATCAGAAAACTATGTCAACTTCAGTTGTTACAAAAATGCTATATATCAAACTCTTAACTGACTTCATAACGTATTATCTTGAAATTGACTTCTGTCTCTTTAAGAAGCTCCTGCGTTCCAACTCTCTGCCTTCAGACATGACCCTAACAACTCTACTCTGTTCCGTTATTTACAAACTTTGTTAAAAGCATTGAACTGTGAGACAATTTGTATGGTAATTTGTTCCAACCGCTCCAACAGGTGTCTGCTATTTGCTGCAGCTGCTAGTCTGGAGGAGCTGTGTGAGGAAGTGGCGGTGGAGGGCTGATTAGAGAGACCACAGCTGGATAGAGGAGCTTTTCATGGGCGCTTAGGCATTACAAATGGCTGCCAAAGGAGGTTGAAGAATTCCTCAAACACGCATGAAAGAATCAAAGCAAATCTCTGGGTATTTTTAGATAAGAGAATAACATTATAATGTGATGTGAAGCTAAAAAGTAATTGACTTTACATAATACTCTCTCCCCTTCAAATACTTATGTATTTGTAAATGACCAGAGCCATGAAAGTACAAATTGATGACTGAAAACAATCAGTCTGTGTCACCATATACTGTGTAAACATTGTGCAATGTGCTTAGAATTTAAACTATTAATCTTAACGGGCTCTGTTTAATACATCCTAAAAAAATCATAAGATAGTAAAATAAAAAAAAAAATGATTTAATTATAATATGAATATTCAGCAAACTATAGGTGTTAATAGTGATAACATACTATAACAAGCTCTTTATGAGGCAGAATATGTTCCCATTCTGAAGGCTCGACTTAAAAATAATTCATTAGTAGTTTGATATGAATTGATGAACGTGGCTACCTATTCACTTTGCAATGCCATTTGAGACACTCTTAGATAATTTTGATTTACATTAAGCAACATTATTTGCTTAATAATGACTAATAGGTAATTATTTTGACAATAATATGAATGGTAATGGTAGCAAGGTAAGGGGAAATTTCTGTCCTGCAATATTAAGGTTTACTAAGGTTTTTTTTTTTTTTGTTGGGTGTTGCTGCTAGACTTAAAAAAAGGACATTACTGTTTTCCCTAAACTATATTAAAGATTAGGAGGAATTTCACAGGCAGTTTTCAGTCCATCCTCAGAGAGTGATGTAGCCAAATCTTTATGATTGTGTGAAACTATCTTTAACACCACAGCATTTGCTTTCATCTCTCCCGTCCATATGGTGAACCCCTACAGTGAGGGTGAATAGATAGGCTCAGCAACTTAAATATATCAGCGTGTATGTGGCCATGTTTTTTAGTGAGCATCGAGCTCTTGAGGGCTATTTAAGACTCTGTGTTCATTGAAATGGCACTGGGTTCCTGTTGGCAAACCCCAGCCCAGATGTTCATTTTCACTGTGAAAGGAAGTGATGGTGATTTACCCTGATTTCCAATGCCTTGATTAGCTGCTCTCTCATGCATTTCAAATTCATAGAAAGTCTCGCCCCACTAAGATATTTACAGCACATGTTAGAATTCACCTCAAAATAAAACTATCTGGACAGAATAATTTAATGCAAATGCATATTTATGTCTTGTTTTCTTAGCAGCTGTTTACCATGAGTTTGGGTCAGCCAAGCCACAACAATTCATTTTGCATTTCATCCTGTTGACCAATCCCAACTCAAGCAATATATAAAAATGCAAATGAAACATAAAACATATCTGTACATGTAAGTGCTCACCAGCAAGAGACGGCATGTGTACACCCACATTTAACATGATCTCCAGTAAAATGTTTTTTCCCCAATATTTTAACTCCTACAACAATTTTCATACAGCTCTACAATAACAGTTCTTTACCAATAATCAATTTACAAGTTCCTCAGTTAAGATTCAGACAGAAAAGTTATCAGGGTGCTCCTGAAACATGAAGATATTCAACCAATAGTCCGTTGTTCAGCTGTGATAAGGAAACCAGGGATTTACAGGAAACTGAACATTGCATGTGTCTATCACAATCTAGTCAACATATCTTTGCCAAAAATGCAAGCAGAGAGTTCTGTACATACATACTCATATGTAACACCTTCAATATGAAGGTTTATTATGAAAGATATAATCATATTTTGCAAGAGATAAACATATTTATATTCTCTTGGTGGAGATAGTTAAAAAGTCCTTTAGGCGAGGCCTTCCAACTGGACTTCCACAGGTAGTGTTTAAGTTAAGAGACAAGTGGGCGGCATCTTGCTATAGTGGCAACATATAACACGGATGGTAAAAGACAAAAATATAACAAAGCTCTGAATTTGTCCATTTATATTACAGTATTAAAATTTTTTAAACAAGCAAAAAATAAAAAATAAAAATGCAAAAGTTGAAGTGCTCCACTGTACATCCCTGTATACCTCTCCGACTAGTTAGTTCTCCTTTTAGTTGCGTCTTTGTCTGTATCCTGTTTCCCGCCAGGTAAAGCTGCTTTCATCTCACATACTGACAACGGTATGGGTAAAAATCACAGGTCACAGGTTTCTAAATGTCTCACACTTGTGTCTACATTTTAAATGTGTTTTAGTCCAGATAATATAGAAGCACAATATCAATTGTTAACCACAACGGCTGAATTTGTAAGCTGTTCCCTGTGCTGATGTCTGATTGTAGTAGTCATTTTGGTTTACAATGACACCAATATAATTGGAAACAACAAGATTGGTCTTTGCCTTTCTTTGTGATAAATGGAGAAAAAAGTGCCAGGTATGGACCCTGAAAGCATGTGGTGGTTAGCGTGAGATGTGACAACCGTTTTCCACGTGGTTGTGCAAACCCTGGTCTCCTGTTGCCATGGTAGGGGTTTATATTAGGACGATAGTCTCGACTCTGGCGCGTTCCGATGGATCGGGGGTCATTCGGGGGCTGCTGTTGTTGGACCTCCGAATGCTGCCCGTTCCATGGCACAGCGCCCCCTGTAGTCATGCCATCGTTGTAGGTGACTGGCTCATCTGCACCCTCATAGACTGGACATTACTGAGGATTTTCTTCTGATGGCCTGCCAAGGTCACTCCTATTCTAAGTAAGTCCCTAGAGAGAAACAAGCAAAGAGGAAACAAACCTGAAAACCAATAGCTTCTTTTAAAGACATATATGAAAGAATTTCAATCACTCTGAAGTTAGAACAGATAATTCTATCTAGTGTAAGTGGGCAGCATCTTGCTGCGCCCCCTGTAGTCATGCAATCGTTGTGGGTGACCGGCTCATCTGCACCCTCAATTCATAAGGCATTGTGATCACGATGCCTCATGAATGGTTTAATACGCCACATTCACATTGTCATATTACAACATTATGCCTCAATTCAGATTACATTTGATGGACAGTGCAGTGATAGTAAAGTGGAAGGAAAGCTATATAGTTTTGAAAGTATTTTCTGTGTGGCATGTATATGAATCAGACCTCATTTACTCTGATAATAATGAATAAAATCCAGTACCACAAGTTGTCCTTTGAAGTTGCAGAATTAATTAACTATTCACTAATTTATGACCCTGGATACCCCATTTCATTTTTAGTAGCAGCGAATTGCTGTATGGACAGTGAAGCTGAGAAATCTTGAAAGACAAATGGTGGTAAATATACCAGCTCAACCATCACAAGCCAGAGCTACAACAGAGTGGCTCAAATTAAAGCATATTCATGAATGTCCCTCAGAGATTACCAATATCCAACTGAAAAACTGTAGAAATCTGAAAACGATGTTCAAAGATGTTCTTCAACCAATCTGGCAGAGATTGGTTGAAAAAAGGAATACCCCATTTCAGATTTTTATTTGCAAAAAAAACATGGTACAGTTTTTCTTGCATGCCACACTTGTGTCTTACTATGTATTAATTTGTGGAAGAATTTTATGTCTATCACATAAAATCCTAACAAAACCAGTCTGGCTGTATAATGACAGACTGGAGAAAGGGCTAAGCCCGGGATCTCAAATCCAGGCCCCCTGGAGGCTTTAGGTGTGACTTTTCTTCACCACATCAGAGTTAAATAATGAGGTCATTAGCAGCACTCTGGAGAACGTGACTACACCCAGGAGATGATTCAGCTTTGTGATTGAGGTGTGTTAAACCAGGGATACATGTAAAAGTTACAGGCCTGCATTTGAGGATCGCTGGTCTGAGCAATGTGATTACTTTAGCAAAAAACATTTATCATCATTCACCATATGTGGAAGCATAATTTCAAAATAAGGAACAAGCGGCTATTAACAGAAAACAAATTAAAAAAAATTAATCCAATGATTTGGGAGAAGAGTCTGTAAACCATGTTCCTTGGAATTGCAAAGAGGCTTCATAGCTACTATCAAGGCCTTGAGCATCAATTTTTAATAAAAATGCAGGCATAATTTTATTTTGTGACAACACTGATAATTAAAATATATGAAGTGCAGTGATGGTATCTGAGTAACAACACCAATGAACAATCCAAGAGGTGGTAAACAAATTTTCTGTCGACAGTCATACGGTTTTTAATTACTTTTACACAAGTTAGTGAACTCACTCTGAGGTCATCTGAGCCACAAGCTGCATGGAGGTAAAACCTGAGTTGAGGAAGTTGTCTCTGTACTGGCTCATCTTGATGGCAGCAAGCCAGTCCTCTACCGAACTGAAGGTGTTGAAGTCGGGTATGGATCTGTCCAACAATGGCTGAGAAGGCCTGGAGGAGACGAGAAGGAGCAGGTCAGATGAGAGGGAGAAAATAACTTTGATGCAATATTAAGCGAGCGGCGTTTTAAGAAAACAAGAGAACCTTTGGGCTTCTTATTTGTTTAGGTGTATATAAAAAGACACAAGCAAAACAGCCGGTAGCGTGTTAACAATTGATATATCTACCTAAAAATGTTTGAAAGAGAACAAAAATGAAAAAGAAAAATGTTAGGTAACATGCCACCCATCATCTGGCCAATACTATTTATACAAAAAGGCTCATTATGGCTGTGAAAAGTTGTCCCAACACCTTAAAGACCTGAGAGTAAGAGCATGCCCTAATGCAAAACCTCAGTCTGACACATAGCTGGGAGTTCACGTAGGCCAACATGGCAGCCAGCCAAATCACAATGCCAAAACAAATAGCTTTAAGTTTCTGACTGACCCTCAGTAGCTCAGTCAACCCAGAGATTCACAGAATTTGTGCAGAAAGCGCAGGGAAAGAAAAACTAAATCCAGTCGCTGTTGTACATGGATCAGGTCTATCCCAATACAGAAAATAAAAAATAAGAATAAATTAATGATTAAAGCATGTAATCTTAATGAATGAAAGAAATACTTTTACATTTATCCCAACAAAGTGGCATGTACACCTTTCCCTGGCATCCACAGCAATGATGTACCATTTATTGGCACTGAACTGTTTCATGGTAATGAGCCTCAGTTTGCTGGCACGTTTTTACATTAGAATTAGAATTGTAACTCACCAGCTGAAGATGCCACACAAACATTTTCACTGATAATCAAAGTTAATATGGGCTAAGAAGCTCATGTTGCTTATCGTGCTGAACTTTATCATTAGTGTCGCTGCTAAGCTTGCTAAAATGCAAATTTTAGTTCTTGCTCCAATAAAGAAACATAATGATAGTTAAAGCTAAGGACTATCCTAAGTCTTAGGATAGTCCTTAGCTTTCACTGAGTTGATACATTAACTCACAGTATACCCATTTAAAAATAAATATCCGCCCTTCCATTCTCTGCTCCATCAATGCACATGATGACATGACTAAGAATAAAAGTTATTTTTCTCTGCAGTCAGTCTTATCCACATGATGAGATCAGACATTTGACCAAGATATAGTAGCCAATTAGTATTTTCAACCACTTATTAATGATCATATTTTCAAACTAATACTCAGTACTAAAATAATTTTATAAATATCTGATATTTAGTGCCCTATAACATGTATTTTTATAGTACATATATTGTACCAAATCAAAATACCGAAATCAGAAAAAAAGTATATTATTTTAAGAATTCATTAATACAACTTTTTCTGAAAGCAAAATGTTTTCCAAATATCTTCTTTTTGTTGATAAGTTATTTCTACACATTTTCATAATGGGTTTGCCTTCTTATTGAATAGCTCAAGTGAAGCTCCCTGAAAGTATCAGGATTCATTGGCGGAAAGAAAAGCAGCAAGGGAAAAGTTCAAGTTTGATGCAATCAACAGTAATAAGACCATTACTATTTTATGAGGTGATAAAAATAAACACAAATAGTAAGATTGTCCAGATTGTGTGTGGGAACTTGGTGCACATAAACAGATGAAAAGCATTTTTAATATCAAGTTAAGGGTGTATTTGTATGTGTGTGTGTGTGTGTGTCCGTCCAGTGAAGTGTTTTACTCACACAGCAGGGATGTTGGCTACAGCTTTTAGGCTGGTGGGGTTACGGATCATTTTGTCGAGGGTACTGACAATATCTGCAAAGCGAGGTCGCACGTTGCGATCTTTCTGCCAGCAATCCAGCATCAGTTGGTGCAAGGCGCTGGGGCAGTCCATGGGTGGTGGCAAACGATAATCCTGCTCAATAGCATTGATTACCTAAGAGATAATTAGAACATTTTGAGTAATTTGACACTTTTAGTTGGTGCTGCAAACCTACTGTTAACAGTTGGATAATTTTGAACTTTTGAAACAAAGGTCTGGGGAGCTGTTATTAGTAGTCTGTGTCTCATTTAGTCTCTCTTTTTGGGTTCTGGGTTTATTGTTTTAAACTAAAACTGTCTAATACAGATTAAAACCTTTAAATCCATCCATCTGAATACTTAGATTATATGACATTTTCTTCTGATAACTTGCATTTCTTGTCTGTACAGATGATGATTTTTTTTTTTTTATCATCTGTAAGGTGAACAATAACATAAACTTAAATAAAAAACCCCAAATTTTTTTTCTGTAAATGTATCTGTTGAGTAATCATGGCACTCTCTTCTATGCCTCAAATTGGCCCTGCCAGCACCCCTCTGCTGCTATGATATTGGCCGACTGCTGTTTGTCGCTCAAGTGACAGTTTGCATTCAGGCAAATGTGTCCTTCCTCCTGACACTAGCCAATCATGCCAGCCCTGGAGGACAAAGTGGGGAAGCAGAGTGGAAGTAAAACACTCGCCGTGTCACTGTAGCAGCCAGTGAGGGAATGGAAGATTTGAAATGATTAACACTTAGAAAACGGGCACTTGACACATGCCTCTTAAAGACTTCACAGGAATGATGGCCTTTTACTTGTAAGAGACTGGGACAAGTCAAAATTAGCCCATGTGAACTAAATTACTGCATGTATTTACAACTAAAGTGTAGTAAATACAGTATACAATGCAGGTTAGTATAGACACCACCCACAAGCTACTTTATTAGGCATAACTGTTCCATTACTTGTTTACACAAAGAGTCTGACAATCATAGGGCAGCCATTCGGGGCATTTAGATATGGTGAAAACAGCTTACTGAAGTTCAAATTCAGCATCAGAATGGTAAAGAAAATTGATTCAGGAAACTTTTCATGTATAAATTGTTGAAAACATCCAGGGTATGTCAGTTGTGTAGACAACTGTTTCAGAAGTATCAGGGGTAACAAAAGAATTATGATGATAGAAAGAGTAGTGAAGAAAACACACTTGTTACAACCAAGGTCTGTGGAATCACATCTCTGAAAATACAGAATGTTGGGCATTAAATTAAAAGAGCTTCAGTAGCAAAGGCTGAATATTGGGTTTCACATGTTGGCTAAGAACAAGATACATAGGAGAGCTTTACATTGAGTTAGAATGGTAGATTCACATTACATATTTGCAGCTAAGGAAATGGGTGATGTTTTTTTAATCAATTTGAATCAAAATATGCAGAAATACATGCAGGGGTGTTTGACCACTAATAGCATAGTGCTAAATCTATGCTATTAGAAATAAAAGCCATTCTGAAGGTAAAGGACAGTTCAAACAGGTACTTACAAGGTGTGATTAATAACATATCTGGTGTGTGAATATATTCATAAAAATCTCTTAATAACGAAGTGTCTTTGGGTTGGCATTTCAGAACAAATCTTCACAAAAACCCTTTTACAGATTAGTAAAAGGGTTACTAATAATGTATATGTACATTATGTGGTGTTTTTTTCTATCTAAAATGCTTGGCTGCAAATTACACTTCAAGTGTAGAACCCAGGGTAAAATACACTATTCTGCAGAAAAGGTTTCTGTAGTTTGAAGACTCAGTGTTGAAGCTGAATGTAGCTCAACAAAATCTACTTAAATGTCACACATGAAGAAGATAGGATAAAATACAAGATGGGAGCATATAAAAAGGAACTTGAAGGCTATATTGAGGAAAATGGTTTTTAAAAAAAAAAAAAGGGAACCAGCAGCTTTTACTTTTGTGTGGTTGTGAAAAAGGATGCGAGAAGGAGTGTGTCTGTAAGTGCCTGAATATGTGCGTGCTCAGAGGAGGCGGACATGCCGAGTGGCATCAGTCCCACCAGGCAGTGCTTGCTGCTGGCCCACTGAGGCAACATCTGCTTGGTTGGACTGTCCCGGTGGAGTGAGGTCCACAGAGGCCTGATGGTTGGCTCGTCTTCTCACTAAGGGAAGCTTAGGGAGAAAGACCTCATACTATGGGACCACTTCCAGTGGTTGTGCGTGTTTGTGTTGGTGCCTGTGAGTATGGATCTTATCCAAGCGGACACGGGGAACAAAGCAGAGCTCTCAGCAATCATTCATTGCTCTCAAAGCTGGCCAGGAAGGAAAGGGATAGTGTGAGGCTTTGCCCATAATAAGTCTGCTTTCAAAGTCAGAGTCAAGGACATCTTCAGCGATAGTGTGGATGAAAAAGGTGATTTATTACAGCTTCCTTTTTCACACAAGACATTCTTAATTGTGTTTGGGTTAGTCTTTATACACACACGCATACAGGCCACATAATTTTTATAGGATGGAGTGATTATTCTGAGACGTATTTAAGTTAAATATTTGAAAGGGTAGTATGCCTTTCAATAATTTTCCAAAAGTTGATCTTCCTGAGAAGCTACCAACTCTTAAATGGCACATACTGTAAATATATGCTATTTTGTCCATACTGTCAGAAAGTTATAGCTTTTCTGTTTACAGAAACAGTGTACACATGCATTTCCCTGCCAAAAAAACATCCCTGCAGCCCAGCATCGGAGCTTTGTTTGGAAGGAAAAAACAGCTTTGTATAAATTGAAACAGTGGTGCTACAAAGACTTATTCTCCCCCACAGAAGGCAGCCTCTGAACTGTCTACAATGGTTTTCTTGTATTGCAGGACGTTTTTTCCCCCTTTACTTGTGTACATCACAAAAGATATTTTTGCCTGCCCAGTAGCTTGTTTCTAGCAACTCTAACATGAAAAAAACAGGTGGTTTGTGCCCTTTTTCTTTAATCAATTAAAGGAAACCTTGAGCTTTTTTGAGAAGAAAAATAGCCAAAAATGAAAAGCATGCTAGACCAGATGACAAAATAATACAAGCCTGCAAAAAGGGGTCACTTTTTGAACATAGCATTATGTATTTACTTCTAGTAATGTCTTGACATTATTATATTAATCACTAAATGCTTACCTCACTTTTACTCACATAAAATATGTAATTGGCCTTTATATATAAAAACATAAAATAAATTGTTGCTTATAACTGTCAAGCAAATGCTTGGTTGCTTTATGTTGTTTCAGAGTGGCAATCCATCAAGATCTTCAATCTATTTAAGTAAGTCCCGAAGTTGACCACTAAATGGACTGTGGGAAATGATGTCATGTCACAAATATTCTAAAATATGAAAAGATCAACGAGATTGTTTTCTTCTGACAAAATGGTGTAAAATAACCTGGATTTTGAATTTACTGTCTATGCCACACAGTTCCTTCATATCTTGGATATTCTGCCTCATTATCTATATACTTTCACCTTCACCTATTAGTGAAAGTGTAAATTCTGATAATAGCTTTGATTAACCACTTATATTTTAATTTATTCTCAGTCTGTTTTCTTCATTCTTTTAACATTTTTCAGCTGACCTACTGACAGTTTTGGTAGAAGACAGAGCTGGTACTGGAAACAGGGGAGGCTGAAATCAGATGGAAAAATTGTTCTGCTGCTGGAAGAGATTTCAACAAACTGACTACAGAACATTTTATGGGCGGGGCCAAGGGACAGCTGTTTTCAATCACCATAAGTACCCAGGGCCCTCACTCGCTCAACGTCAAATCCTTTGATTAAGCGAAACATTTAGTCCTGGCCTCTAAATTTGCTGACAGTATTTGAAATATTTTGTGGTTTTTCTAATCTTCTATTTTCCATCTTCAGTTCTGGTTGCACCAGCTACAAACCTTAATCTAAATAAATCTACAAAACAATTATCATTTTGTAGTCTTGACATCCATTAAACCAGAAACCTTGACATTGACTTTGAGTCTGCTTTGGGTCCCTTTTATCTAAGTGAATGACACATACATGCTGGAAGCCTTTTTCCAGTTTGCTCAGGATACAATTTATGACATTTGACTTAATCTCTAGTTGTAATATATGACTGATATGTTTGTGTGCCATTTAGTCTTTTTGGGTGTAGTTGTCTTATGAGCTGTCAACTTCGAAAAGTCATTTGACTGGTAATGTGGTTCTGCTTTGAGTTGATCACAGATTTTCTTAAAACGAAGTAAATCTTAGCAAAAATAAGTATATTGCTTTGGATAGCAACACCTGAACCACTTAGACCTCCGTGTCAAGATCTTCTAATTATACCATGATCTATTGTCTTCGGCAGAGCATAAGGATGACAATTCTGATCATCTTAAGGCCCTCCTGTAGGCCTATGTATTCCCTAAATTTATTTATTTCTACTTAACTGGACTATGTTTAATGGCTTCTTTGCAAATATTCATATTTTGTATGCATTAAACAGTACTTTCACTATGGCTTCATTGTGCATTTGGTCTCCAGAATTTTATAACCTATTCTTTAAAAAGTTCTGTAGAAATAAAACTTTACTTACTTAATGTAGAGTTTGAGTCTGCAGTTTTGAATCCAACAACCTATTTTATGAGTGTCTCGTTTAGTGGATTTGTTGTGCTGGTTTCCTTGAGACGGAATGGTTGTGGGGTATGTGATGTTTTTTTTTTTTTTTTTTTTGCATGAATAAAGCTCTATTATTAGAGCCACTTTCTTTTCAAGAGAGGATCATGATTATGTATTTTAAATGACTTACGTCCTGGTTGGACATGTCCCAATAAGGTCTCTCTCCGTATGACATCACCTCCCACATGACGATACCATAACTCCACACGTCACTGGCTGAGGTGAACTTTCTGTAAGCAATGGCCTCTGGAGCTGTCCACCTTACTGGGATCTTTCCACCCTGAGAAATAGAAAGAAAGGATTTACATATTAGAGATATTTTAATTTTTTGATAAGGTTGACTTCTTTTACGCTTGGATAAAACTACAGTGAGCCATTTTATCCTGAATACCACAAGACTTGTCTTGACTGTTAAGAGTTTAATCTCCTTTCTTTCTCCATCCACCCTGTGTATTCATCCACCTGAAGCCAAAACATTCATAAGATTCTGCTTCCGTCCCTCGAGTGACTCTGCACAGTCATCGACTGACATTACATTTACTACTGTCTTGTCTCCTATCTGAAGAAAGGAAGATAGATCTGGGCTTCTGCTCCTTCATTGAGCGTTACTGGCTGTAATTGGGCTACCAGGGCCTAAGGCATGCCACGTGCCTTCTTGAATGAAATTGACAGCCGCTTGCTTTAAATTCCATGCACACACCAAAGCAGTCTCAGCTGGTAACATATTCACAGACGGAGATGTTTGTGCGTGAACGCCCACACGTCTAAATAGGCAGACAGTCATGTACATGCCTGACCATACTCCCTTCATTCACATCTGAGTTGAGCTCGCCACCAGCTTAATAATGCCAATTAACTGAACCTGAGCATTTGGTGATAAGCCCCTGTTGGAAACAAACCCAAGAGAAACAGGCACAGACCACCCCCAGTGAGGAGAATAACACAGATAATGGTTCTTTGGGATCTTTCCAAATTGCATGCTTATGTCCAACAGTTTCCTTTTTTGGTAATACATATATTTGTATTATGATCATGTTCTGCAGGTCAGGGTTATGTTGTACTACTGAAGTGGAGAATTTGAATACATGACTGAACACACAGAAATGTGATAACCGATAGTAAACAAATGTTGCTTGGAGGAATTTAGGGTGAGTTTTCTACAGCATAACAGGAGAAAAACAAAAGTCAAATATAGCTTTAAGAGCAAGTTTTATTCAAATTAATTGGAGATATGTGAATATATAAAAAGAGAGTGATCAATATATAATATTATGTATTTATCAGGCACATAGTGCTATTTATAGCACAGTAAAGTAACTATGGTTTCTTCAATTGTTATAAAGTAAGTGAATATAAATTGCAATGATTTCAGAGCTTCTGATGTCTATTCTTATACCTCATTTTGGTTTCCATTTGGATTGTTTTATATCCACTGAGGACTCAGAGTTCCTCTGTCTGGTTCATGCTTATGGCTGGGGGAAGAAATTATTTAGAAACAGGAAAAAAAAAAAAAAAAAAAAAAATAAATATATATATATATATATATATATATATATATATATATATATATATATATATATATATATATATATATATATATATATATATATATATATATGTAGCAACATTTAGAATGGTTGATCATCTTTCTCTCCTGGGTTAATGTCTGTCTGAATGAGCATATATGAGATGAAAGATGAGGTTATAAATACAAAGTACCCAAATAAATAAATAAAAAACTAGCTGGAAGCAAAATGTTGTCTATTACAATCCTTCTTAGACATAACTTCCTTGCTGCTTTTTCTCAGTTTGTACATCTGGTCTGTTGCCCCAGGACCCTATTAAGATATGAGCTGGGAGTTGCTGAAATAGGCAGAGTAAAGCTTCTAGTAAAGCTGTTTTCACACTACCAGTGGGACAGACATTAGTTATACTATTTTCAAGTCAACTGAGTCACAGATGTCTATGTACACTCTTTAGTAATTACTCCTCTGGGCTATTGCTAGCTCTGCCAAAACCCAGTTTTAACAACATACAGTGTTGACTGACTTATAAATAGACAAAGAGGGAAAGCAAAAACATAGTAATCACTTTCTTCAGCACAAAACGCATCAATATCAGTAAAGAGATATTTAGGGGGCACAGAGGATGTTACTTATGTTGTGTTGTTGGAACAGTCCTTTGAGGGTTGCTGCTAATGAAGTTCCTAGCCACATCTTAAAGGATAGTCTATGAAAATATTATCAGAATTGGTCTGTAGCTCATCAAAAAATGGGAATGTGATCAGATAATTTTTGTGACTTCTCAAAAACTTTGAGTCTAAATACATACAAATCTTGTGTATTACGCTATTATTTAATGTTATTGTTGTACACATTAGAATTGTAAACATTTGAATTTAAAATAAGTTGAAGAAAATTTCCTCCTAAAAAAAATAACTCAATACTCTGGTACTTAGGAAATAGAAACAATTGTGTTTATCTTAGCTTACTTAAAAAAAAATTATTTTATGTCATACGGAGACATGAGATGGTTATGTGTCTTTTTATAACGAATATTTGATTTCAATTGTATTTATATATATATATATATATATATATATATATATATATATATATATATATATATATATATATATATATATATATATATATATATATATATATATATATATATATATATATATAACTCAATACTCAATATATATATATATTTGCTGCATTTTCTGTTCTCTTTCAGTAATAAAGAAAACTATTTCTTTATCACTCCTATCTCGGACAACTACTTCAGACTCTGTGGAGAAGAGCTAGAGTTCATAGTCACGGCAGCATCAGAACTTCTCAACCTCGAGTGGAGAAAAATCCAATGATATACCCCACAAACTCTCTGGATAATAACTAAAGTAGGTGACACACAGTGCTTGATTTTCTAGCCATATTGGGTGGTTCCATTTTCTGCTTGATGAATTTTGGGTCCTTAAATAAAAAGCAAAGCTTCAAGAGGGTGTGAAAACATGAAATTTATGTCAACGAAGAAAAAAAAACAAACCCAAAAGTTACTTTTTACATATGCTGGTAGATATTACATCTATCTATGTTTTCATCCAGAATTTCAGGGCAGAGAACCTTGAGCCAACATTTGAACGTGTTGAAATCTTTGCATCAACAAAGTGAGATTACGCAACATGACTGGCTCCACCTGCTTGTGACCGCCTCTGACAGGTTGTGACTAGAAGTGACAGCTTGTGATAAGTCTTAAATGTCACAGTAAAGAAGATGTGCCGAGACTGTCAGTTTAACAGGTATTATGCCGAAACAAATGTTTTCTTTTGACAACTGGATCTGAAAGACAAAGGGCAAACGTTTGGTGGTCAGGTGACATGCGGTGTCTCTTGTGAATGTGTTGCACTTTGCCAGGACATGATACACCTGTCAAGACGTGGTGCTAGCTTGAGCTGTGAATCCACTAATGAGCACATCACTTCATGTAGATTGTCGACGACGTGCTGTATGTGGAATGTGGTAAAATTCAGAACACAAATACCCATCACAGAATAGTGAACAGTTGTCACTAACATCTTCCAGATAAGCTTGCTGTGGAAAAGCCCAATGTTTTTTTGTTTTTACTCAGCTTGTTTTTTCTTCAAGATGAGCCATTTAGGGAATCTGAATAAACTTTCTAAGCCATCTGGAAGTCAACTATGAAAAACTTTATCCCTGTCCCCCGCCTCCCATTCCTTCCCTCTCTTAGTTGCCTTTACGCCACGAACGTCAGTAATCTATTTCCAAACAATGCACACTCAAATGGGCTTGAGCACATTTACTTAGGCTGGGCAGAGTGCTCCATCAACATAGTTTTAATGAAATCCTGAGTGCAACGATCTGCCCTGGATGTCTGCCCAAAGAGAATGAGAAAAAGAGTGAAGACATGCAGTGAGAGCCAGCGAGGATGAGTGACAGCGGGACTTGAAAGGTGGAGGGCATAAGGAAAAGAAAAAATAAAAAAAACAAGGTCATTTGATGACTTTTCTGACTTTCTTTTCAATAATATTTCATGGCAATGAACAGAGGTATTCCAACATGTATTTAAATTAAATAATGTAAAACGTTGGGGAAATCTTTACTCACTGACTTATACTCTACATAAGTTCTAAACAATCTGACATTCTGCAATAATCCCTTTGTGTTTTCAGTTTAAGTTTTGTTACTACCTACATATCTACATAATCTTAACAATTGAGAATTACAAAAAGTGTAGTACTTGATTTGCAAAAATCTTTTCTGTATTTTCTGAATCATATAATGATGGGTATGGAGTCAGGACTGAGGGATGGGCTGAGAAAATAAATCCAACCTACAGTGTCTGACCACAATATACAAGCCCATTGAGGTATTTTATAAAGTTGTAACCAAAATTTACAACATACTTTGTTTAAATAGTTATTCTGCTTCTCAAAACATCAAAGCAATGCTATTTTAATGAGCACCTTTTAAACTGGTACCTATGAAGTCACCAAGGTAGTGAATGGATCCCACCTGTGTATAATTAAAACTCATTATACCTACAGCTTCTTCGTGAAGGACTCAGAGGTATATACGACGACATTAACAAGCAAATGCTGACATGGAAACAAAGAAACATCATATGGGTCAGGAGTCAAGTTGTGGAGAAGTTTAAAGAGAAACGTGGGAGAATCTGCGAACATCAGAACTGTAAGATATGACATTCACAAATCGTTATGGAAGTGTGGTAAGGGGAAAGCCATTGTGATTAAATCTTGAGTATTTTTTAAATATTTTTTAATTATTGCACTTACTAGCATTTAGTTGAAAATTTAGATCAATTCTCCAGGTTTTAAAACAGGCCTTTTTATATGATCTCCTGGCACCACCAAATTAAATCCAGCTAGTATCTATCTCTCTTTTGTGTTAAAATCTAATTTTGGAAATTGACCTTGACCTCAATTTCTTCAGAGAATGCGGTTTATAAGCAATTACAGTCACTTATCTAACCAGGGCAAAAGCTGAATAGCCCTAATTTTTCCCTTCAGTGCAACTGGGGGTGGAGTTGAGAAGTGTATGTTATAAAATCACTAAAGGGCTAAAATTGATGTATTGGGGGGGGTTATGCCTCTGGATGTGGTCATCCATTTCCCTCTTAATCCCCCAAATTTGGCATTAAAATGTAGAATAATATTTAGTTAAATCTTAACAGCTATGCCACGAACTGTGTTTATTTTTGCTAAGATTTAGTTCTGTAATATTTCTAAGTGAACTGCTA